AACGAACGTATCAGGGCAGTGACTGGAACACAGCAAATACTCAATAAGTGGTAGCTATTATTACTTCAGGAAATGACTAGAAAATATCTACATATTGACTTAAGTATACTTTTTATTTGTCAATTTCAACTTGTATTTTAGATTTGGGAGGTACATATGCAGGTTTCTTCCATGGTATATTGCATGACACTGAGGTCTGGGGTAAAGCATACATTTTAAAAGTAAAAATGTTAAGTGTTTAAAAGAAAGGAGGAATCAGCAGTAAAATGGTGGATTTGGAGAGACTGTGGTGCACAATTGTGTGTGGAGAGGTGCTGGTGGGTATAATGTCTCCACTTCTTAAAATAGCAGAACATTTTTTTTCAAGGGAAATATACCTCATATGGCTTAGGTAAGGTGACACTGCATGCCATCTCTTCCCATACACTGGGGAGTTGACATATAACTCAGGTGGGTGAAACAGAGCCCTGACTTTCTCACCACTGTGTTTACATCAGAAAAGAGCCTATGGTTCAAATGCAGCTGATAGGTCTCAAAGATGAGATATTTAGATTTGGGGTATCAGAGGCTGTACTAGTTTGTTTTGTATTGCTATAAAGGGATATCTGAGACTGGGTAATTTATAATGAAAAGAGGTTTACTTGGTTCATGGTGCTGCACACTGTACAGGAAGTGTGGTTCTGCCATCTACTTCTTGTGAGGCCACAGGGAGCTTCCAATCATGGCGGAAGGCAAAGAGGGAGCAGGCGTGTCACATGGCAAGACAGGGGGTGTGGGGGGGCAGCTCTTGTGTGAACAAATAGTGTGAAAACTCACTCATCACCAAGGGGATGACAACAAACCATTTATGAAGAATCCACCCCCATAACCCAAACACTTCCCAGCAGCCCCATCTCTAACATTGGGGATTTGGAGGGAACACACATCCAAAATATATGAGGTAGCCTTTTCCTTTGGTATCACAAACCTGAAGGACATGTTGGCAGCCAACTTTTTCACCAAATGTGGGGCTGCTCAAATATAATGCTTACATATAAAACTTAAATATAACACTGTAATATAACACTGAAATATAACGCTTAAATATCATTCTTAAATATAACGCTGAAATATCACGCTGAAATATGCTGAAATATCACGCTTAAATATAATGCTGAAATATCACGCTTAAATATAACACTTAAATATAACGCTGAAATATAATGCTTAAATATCATGCTTAAACATAATGCTTAAATATAATGCTGAAATATCACGCTGAAATATAATGCTGAAATATCACACTGAAATATCACTGAAATATCATGCTTAAATATAACGCTGAAATATAATGTTGAATTATAACACTGAAATATAATGACTAAATATCACACTTAAATATAATGCTGAAATATAATGCTGAAATATAACGCTGAAATATAATGGTTAAATATCACACTGAAATATCATGCTTAAATATAACATTGAAATATAACGCTGAAATATAACACTGAAATATAATGCTTAAATGTCACACTTAAATATAATATTTAAGTATAATGCTGAAATATAATGCTGAAATATAACACTGAAATATCACGCTGAAATATCACGCTGAAATATCATGCTTAAATACAATGCTTAAATGTAACACTTAAACCTAATGCAGAAATAGCACACTGAAATATCACACTTAAATATAAGGCTTAAATATAATGCTGAAACATAATGCTGAAATATAGCACTGAAATATCACACTGAAATATAACGCCTAACTATAACACTTAACTATAACACTTAACTATAACACTTAAATATCATGCTTAAATATAATGCTGAAAGATCGATAGTTCCCAAAATGGAGTGAGAGAAAAAACTCAATAGATTGTTTGAGCACCTGGATCTGACTGTGCCAGAAGCCAGATATAGTCTAGGACTATGCAATTTTGTGAATCAATAAACTAGTATATTTTCCCCCATGTTTTTCAGCGTTAAATTTCTGTCATACACAATCAAAAGACCATTGGATTAACATCTTGGGCTGCGATGCAGAATAATGTCATAGAGAAAGCTCTAGAATTGGAAGAGAAGGAGGAATTTCAAGTGTTGACATTACTTACGAGTATTAAATAAGAGGGAATAATTTAGATTCTTACCATTTTCCTTATTGTAAAATAAAGACGTCGACCTCTGCTTATCTTATAAATCTTGAGGAAGTTCAGTAAAGCAATGTGTGTGATGGACTCTGCTGTATAGGGTTACATTTTGTAGTCAAAATAACAGATAGATGGAGTACTGGAGTTTGTACATTTTTTTTTCAAAGACTCGCTCTGTTGCTCAGGCTGGAGTGCAGTGGTGTGATCTTGGCTCACTGCAACCTCTGCCTCCCGGTTCAAGCAATTCTTCTGCTGCAGCCTCCCGAGTAGCTGGGATTACAGGCGCACAACAGCATGCCCGGCTAATTTTTGTATTTTTAGTAGAGACAGGGTTTCACCATATTGGCCAGGATGGTCTCGAACTCCTGACCTCATGATCCACACACCTCGGCCTCCCAAAGTGCTGGGAATTACAGGCGTGAGCCACCACGCCCAGCCTGGAGTTTGTACATTCTAACAGTGTTGAGAAATACACCTGTAAGCTGTGGGTACCCACCTGCCTTTACACGTAAACATCACGAACACAGTAGTCAGCTTATGAATAGGATAGAATAGAATAGAAAAGAATAGGTGAAATCTTTCCATTTATAATACACACATCTGATCGTTTATTGGACATATAATTGCAAAGTTTTCTTAGCAGGGTGATTGATCACAACCTTTAAAACTGTATACTCTGTGAAATTACCAGTGCTTTATTGCTACTGAGAAGCACACTAATGCAGCTTGAAGGAGGGAATCCTGACGACATTGTTGAGTCTCCTGCATGGACTTCACGGACTAATTCAGTGACCATCAGCCCTTCTGTTGCATTGTTAATGGTTCTTGCCTGCCCTTGAATTATTGAACTTGCATATATATGTTTGCATATGTGTAATGCAGATAGCAAAGAAAATAAATATATTATTTTTTTATATTTAATTTTTATATTATATAGCATATTGGGTAACTTCAGTCTTCTAGAAAATGTTTGAAATGTGTTGGCATTCAACTAGAAGCTGTAGCTGAATGTTCCATTAAAAATTCAGACTCTAACATTGGTTTGGGTGATGCAGTGATGAGTGATGATATCTGGAGCTCTGTCCCAGTTCTTAGAGTGCTGAAGTTAGAGCTGCCTATGCCATGTTCACTAGCCTATAAAATGAGTAGCTGGGCACCTGTCTGAGTTCAGTGATCCACAGCACAAATAACATTAAAGCTGAAGCCATGACTGTAATATTTGTGGTCTTGTCAGAAACGGCCTAAGTGGGGCAGGCATTGAAATTGATGCACTTTTCTCCAAGGCAGAGTTGAGACACTGATATAGAAATACAGCCCAGATGATGTCTTAAGGGCTGGAGCTGATCTCATTTCCATTTTCATTCCTCAAAGGTATCCATGTAATGCCTTTAAATTCAGTCAAAAAAGAAAAAAGAAAGGTCTCATTAGTTTTCTTCTTGATCTTATTGTTGTCACAGGAAAGCACTTAAGAACTGAAATTACATTCTGTGCATGTTGAGAGTTGGTCCAGTTGAATCAAGTGTAGGATGATTGCAGGCCCTGAGCAATCTGAGGCCTGCAAGAGGAAGATACTGTCAAGACTCCATTTTCCACAATCGTCTCCAGCTTTGTGCTGTGCCCGACAGATTGGAGGGCTGAGAATGTTTTACCACCCTTCATAAAGTCAGCAGCCGCAGAACTGTGCCAGGGTTATGCACTACTATTGTGAGGTAAATCTTGGGAATTAATTGAGAGATACAACCATTAACACAAATCTTGATAGCATTTCAATCCAAGTGGGAAGTCCGACGTTTTAAGAGAGGTATTCAGTAAGGACTTCAAAACACATTTCCACAATTACCTATACAACCCTGAAATTGTCTTGTTTTCAACTTTTTTTTCCCAAATATACTGTCAAAATAAATGGCATTGTGTGTGTGTATGTGTGTGTGTGTAGCTAGCTAGCTAGATGATAGATAGATAGATAGATAGATAGATAAATAGATAGATAGTAGATAGGTAGATAGTAGATAGATAGCAGATAGATATTTATATAATTTTAAGTTGGTGATATTACCGAATTTTATTCTTTAGTAGTTTCAAAACAGAAGCTGTTTATTGCATAGACTGAAAAAAATATCTTTTAACATAATCCTGCATCCTTATGAAGCCACATATAGTATTTGGGGGAGTGTAGTTCGTTCCAGTGAAGGAAGACAGAGCATGGATTTACTTCGCAGAGACTGATCCTCCTTCATAAAGGATCTTTAGACTTTGCTTACATCATGCTTTGAGATGTTTTATTTCATCGGTAAGAGCTACTATCTGAAAAATATTTTATGTAAAATAAATTGACCATATTCTCTCGTGGGACTATAAATATAAAGAATTGAGTGATCACTCTTGTCCAACAAAATATAAATAAATGACTTGGGCCACAGTGTTTCTTGTTCTTAAAGGATTGCTTTTTAAAAATTTTTTCATTTTTGTTTCTTTTACGTTAGTACTATAATAGTTGGGTATAGGGAACTCTGTTATCTGGAAGTCAAGAGATTTTTTTTTCTACTTATTTTAAGTGTATTAGTAGAAAGTTAGTGTTAATAATGTACATAACTGAATCATCAATTTTCAAGTAAAGTTGCAATAATGAACATTTATAAATGATACTATTCTGATCATTGTTTAATCTTTGATTTTCATGAAGCCTTCTGTAGGGTCAGAGAATTCAATATTCCTAGGACATCAAACTGAAAGAAGGGAAGACTGAGAGCTGCTCACCTTGAGGCAGGCTATGGATTAGGCAGTTATTCCAGAAATACCTTGATTTTCAAGCTACCCTGAGGACCCATCAAAGTCCTTTTTTTTTTTTTTTCTTTTTCTTTTCAGGAAGTCTAGCTGATGAGGCCTCAGGCCCTGGTTCCACAGGGACATGAATACCTCAAGCTTTGCAGATTGTGGAGTGACCTAGCCTGTCTACTTAGTCTGCACCATTGAAATTCCATCAATGAAGACTGACCTCTGCCATGATTAAAATAAGAAGTGCTTTAAATCAAAGAGGTAAAATTTAGCATTTTATGTCCCCTCTGCCTGTGCTGAGGCATCTGAGTCGTGAAAGAAGCAGTGAATTGGGCTAGGGCTAGGGCTAGGGCTAAGAATTTGAGGTAGTCACACCATATTGAAAATTTGACCTCATAAAGAACATAAGGATTTATATCATATTTATCTACTTACTATAGTATCAAATGTGAAATCCACCACTGCTTGATTCTCTCCTTTAGGCTTATAAACAGATTGGTCATTTCTTTGTCTTGAACTGTCCACTGTACATTTAGACAGAAAAGGAGTTTTAAGGCCCTTTTCCTTCTTCCCTTATCAATTCCTACTGACTGTGGATGTGTCCAGTGGGGACAACACATAATAAATAGTGTCTACTGAGCATCTCCCATGTGCTGGGCACTAAGCCTTGCATTTTACACAAATAATCTTACTTCGTCTTTACAGTGAAATTAGTACCATTATGTCAATTTGGTAGATGGTCACCTTACAATATAAAAGGTGAAGTGACCAGTCCAAGATGCAGTTAATGAACCCTGTCCTCCGTGCTCTTACTGTGACATCTTTTGAGACTTCCATTCCCCTCTTAATAGCACATTCTAAATAATAGAATCGACTTTAATTTATGTTGCTTAGTATACTTAGCAGAACCTAAAGACAGAATATTCAGAGACCCTGTTCCCCCAAAGACTGCTTATGAATTCAATGGTAGTATGATATTACTTTCTTTGTAGATCCTCAAGTTAAGAAGGTTTAAAAAAATAGGTGTGATGATGCCCGGAAATATTATATATATACATATATATGTGTGTGTGTGTGTGTATATATATATATAATCTTTGACATTTCAATGCCTTTGGGCTCAATGACTTGAAAACAACTTACTGCTACTTCTAAAACATTAGATAGCAGACATTTACCCTGGAAGTAAAATAGTAGCTTAGCAACCATGGCTTTGTATTTGTTTAAAGCCATTTGGAAGCTGGAGAATCATTTTCCACCCATGAAACATTTTGCTTATTAATGAAGAACATTGATTCATTGCACATTGTAGACCTTTTGGCGTTTTGTGTTAGACAAATAAACTTAGGCTCAATTTGATGGAAGGAGAGTTATGGGTAGAGATGCTACTTATGATCAAGTGTGACTGGTGCCATAAGAAAGAATAATTTGTCAACCTCACTAAGAATTAAGAATCTGGGCTATTAATTCTGAGAATGACAGGAGTTGAATTACATGTTACTTAGAAATACGGTTGTTCAAATATGATTCAAGCATCAACTGCTTCTTTGCAGTTCTCGTTTTGATACTCTTTATAAATGATTCATATTTGGGATTTTACACCATGCTTTTGAAAAGCACAGCACACATTCTGTTACCTGTTGCTCCTTATGTAATAGGTCAGCAAATGTGTATCAGCCTCCACTACAGACCTGCTTTATGCTGAGGCTGGAAGTGTTGCACATGCTGGGACTCTGGAAGTTTGGTGTTTCCATTATTATAGTTTACAGTTCAGAGCAAATATTAGGGTTGCACAAACATTTTCATTTCTAAAAATGGCAGTCACTTCATTTCTGCACCATTATTGAACATATACTCAAGGTAGTTTTGTTGCCAAAGGAACTGAATTAAATTGCTAACAATGAGGTGGTTGCATGTTAATATTTAATACTTTGTCCAATACCATCATATTTGTGTTATTATGAAAACTACATATATGATGATTATACTTTCAGAAATTGTTTGCTTTCTTCTGCTTTTTCTAATATTCTAAAATCAATTTAAATATACTAGTCTTGCGAAGTCTAATTGTTTTGGTAAACACCACCACCAAAATCCTGCCCCACTTACTTTCTCTCTCCCACCTACAAAATCAAAGCCAATGTTATGAGTCAAGCTGGCTCGTGTGTGGGGATCGCGGCTCCTTTTAATGTCTTGTGTATTTTGAAACATGTGTTGCCTGCACCAGTTCTTCTAACTATGACATTCTATGCAAGTGTGGTTTGAGGTTGCTCATACAAGTCCAGGCATGATGCTCAAATTTGGCTGCTTATTATGTATTACCAAAAGCCAAGTGTGTATGCTTCATTGCTTTGGGAAAAAATGGATTTAACACTAGCTCAGCAAAGCTTTATGATATTGCTATTTCAAATCATTTTGGTTCATTGATTAAATAAAAGGCAATTTGACTTGTTTAGCAATATTTAAATGAAAAGGATATGTACTAATCTTTAGGCAATTATACCCTCTATATTTTTAATTTTACCATATAGACTGCGCACTGATTTGAACTATCAGTGTACTAAAGATAACTCTTACCCCTGATGCCTTTGATTTATTTTCAAGTTCAAAGGCCTTGAAAATAATTTTATTTTTATAATTTTATGCAGTAGGTATATATTGTGTATCTCCCTAAGGTAGATAAAATCTTTCCATATCCAAGTGCAAGTCTGACTGTAGATTGTCCAATGAAGTCTAAGTAATGGTAGAACAGAAACTAGCAGTTGATTAAATCAGTGGATCTTACAGGTTTACAGTTTCTGCAGCCCAACTCTGGCTCTCCACTTGTAAGTGAAATATAATGAATGCAAAGGGCATAGCCAAACTTGGACTCAGATCCCTGCTTTTCACATACCAGGCAACTGATCATGATCAAGCTACCGAGTCTGCATAATAATCTGTGTCCTAATTCATTAAGAAGGAGTGACAGTTCTCATAAAATAGTTGCACATAATAGATACTCAAAAATGTTTCTCTTCTGATAGTTTGTACAGTACTTTATCTATAAATTAGTACAAATTCTCTGTCTTAAGCAATCTTGAGTACTTGGGGAGCAAATTTTGATTCAAGGAGGAAATATGAAAAATGACATAAAGGATAATTATTTCCTTCTTCTTATCAGGAAGTTTCTATTTCTTGTGTCCTGCTGTGGGTAGAAAAGAGAGAATCAAGAATGTTTTGAAATAATGTGATAGAGAACCCAGAAAGAAGGCTGTACACCTACAACTATGATCTTCAACAAAGCCGACAGAAACCAGCAATGGAAGAAAAATTCCCTATTCAATAAATCATGCTGGGATAACTGGGTATCCATATGCAGAAGAATGAAACTGGATCCCTGCCTTATACCATATGCAAAAAATAACTCAAGATGGATGAAAGATTTAAAAATAAAACCCAAAAGTATAAAAACACTGGGAGACAACCTAGGCAATACCATTTTGGACTAGGAATGGGCAAAGATTTCATGACGAAGACACTAAAAGCAATTGCAACAAAAGCAGAAATTGACAAGTGAGATTTATTTAAACTTGAGAGCTTCTGCACAACAAAAAAGACTATAAACATAGTGAGCAGACACCCTACAGAATGGAAGAAAATTTTCATAAAGTATGCCTCTGATAAAAGCCTAATATCCAGCATCTATAAGGAACTTACACAAAGTTACAAAAAAAACACCCTCCGGAACCCCATTAAAAAGTGAGCAAAGGACAGGAACTGACACTTTTCAAAAGGAGGCATATATATGGCCAAAAAACATATGAAAAGAAGCTCAACTTTACCAATCATGAGAGTCATGCAAATGAAAACCACAATGAGACACCATTTAACACCAATCAGAATGGCTATTTGATATGGTTTGGCTCTGTGTCCCCACCTAAATCTCATGTCAACTTGTAACCCTCAGTGTTGGGGGAGGGGCCTGGCGGGAGCAGATTGGATCATGGGAGTAGACTTCCCCCCGGATGTTCTCACCACAGTGAGTGAGTTCTCATGAGATCTGGTTGTTTGTATCACTTCCCCCTTCACTCTTTCTCTCTCCAGCTCCACCAGGTAAAGGTGTGCCTGCTTCCCCTTCAACTTCCACCATGATGGTAAGTTTCCTGAGGCCTCCCCAGCCAGGCTTCCTGTGCAGCTGGTGGAACCATGAGCCAATTAAATGTCTTTTCCTCATAAATTACCCAGTCTTACCTAGATCTTCATAGCAGTGAAAGAACAGACTAATACACTATTATTAAAAAGTCAAATATAACAGATGCTGGTGAGGTTGTGGAGAAAAAGGAATGCTTATACACTGTTGATAGGAGTATAAATTAGTTTAACCATTGTAGAAGATAAAGGTGATTCCTCAAAGACTTAAAAAGAGAACTAACATTTGACCTAGCAATCCCATTACTGGGTAAATACCCAAAGGAATACACATCATTCTATCATAAAGATACATGCACACATATGTTCATTGTAACACTATTCACAATAGCAAGGACATGGAATCAACCTAAATATTCATCAATGGTAGAATCGATAAAATAAATGTGGTACATATACACCTTGGAATACTACAAAGCCATAAGAAAAAAATGAGATCATCTCCTTTGCAGGAACATGGATGGAGCTGGAGGCCATTATCCTCAGCAAACTAACGAAGGAACAGAAAACTAAATACTGCATATTCTCAATTATAAGTGGAAGCTCAATGGTGAGAACTCATGGACCCAAGGAGACAAACAAGGCATACTGGAGCCTGTCAGAGGGTGGAGGGTGGGGAGGGAGAGGATCAGGAAAAATAACTAATGGGTACGAGGCTTAATACCTGGGTGCTGAAATAACCTGTACAACAAACCCCACGACACAAGTTTGCCTATGAAACCAGCATCTGCATGTACTCCTGACTTTAAAATAAAAGTTAAATTTAAAAAATACAAATTGGAAAGAAAACATAAGATGATCCACGGGTTCACAACCATAGGATTTCCAGAAGAAATATGAATTGGAAACATCAGTGTCTAAATGTAGTTAAGAAACTCACGCTATTGGCCAGGCGCGGTGGCTCACGCCTGTAATCCCAGCACTTCGGGAGGCCGAGGCGGGCGGATCAGGAGATCAGGAGATCAGGAGATCGAGACCATCCTGGCTAACACGGTGAAACCCCGTCTCTACTAAAAATACAAAAACTAGGCCAGGCGTGGCAGCGGGCAGCTACTTGGGAGGCTGAGGCAGGAGAATGGCGGGAACCCGGGGGGCGGAGCTTGCAGTGAGCCAAGATGGCGCCGCTCACTCCAGCCTGGGCCACAGAGCGAGACTCCGTCTCAAAAAAAGAAGCTCATGCTATCTGAACCATCTCTTGGTTGCTTTCCCTCCCAGATCGTCTTTTCTCCCAGGGACTCACTGACCATGAACAGCGGTCATGCCTAGATTTACCCCGTCTCTGCCCTCAAAGCTGACGTGGAGTCAAATGCCACAAATAGCCTTGATCGTGCAACCTTGATTATCTTTCTGAAAAATATAATTAGTAACCCTCCTTTCTATCATTTATTTACAGAAACACTGATTATCCTTGGTGTAAAGCTTCTAATAAACAGCAGGCATTGTTAGAAATTTAATTCATTCATAGGGTTTTTTGAGCCTCGCCATACATTTGCTGCACCAACACATAGTTTATCATTTTAGAACTCTTGGTTCATGCTTTTAAAATTTGAGACATGGATATCCTTAAGCTCTGTGAGTGATACTGAGGAAGGAAAGGGCAGGATGTGTATCATGAAGAAAAATTCGAATCAATTGAAAACAGGCTATCAGGGAAAACGTCACTGAGCTGAATGCATGGACATGCCACCCTGTTATCAAAACAATTATTGAAAAAATCATTTCTATTGTTCTAAGAGGTCACGTATGCCTCGGCTCTTCCAGCCACTCAGTTTTTACCAAACCTTTTTTTTTTTTTCGTTCTAGGCCCACCCTCTTCCCGGATCAACAGGGTCCAAGAGCAGGAAAGTGGAACTGAATACCTGGACTAAGACCAAAGAATGCTGCAGTGTGGACTGGGGGGATAAATTCCAGGCATTTCTTCTTGCTTCCAAATGTAACTGAATCTCTTTTATCTGGAAATATGACTTGAGTTCATAGGAAAGAGGAATCAGGCCAAAGCCACTTTTTGATATTGGGGCATCAGAAATACCATAGGCACAGGCTTTTTCACAGGATGGTATTTCTTGTTTGGACATCTGGCTGATCTGCTGAAAACATGCATCTGTGAGAAATACATGGGAACAATTTCTTTTTGATAAATAAGGAAATACTTTAGTAGAGGGTTAGTATTGAATTCTTACTTTTGTGTATTTTCTTTTAGCAATAACACCTTTTTCCTTTCTTTGCTATGTTAGGAGAGAAAGAAGACTCATGTTTATTGTACGAACACAGTTACTTTTACATTTTAATGCACTGCTCTTAGAAAACAAACCAGGAAGCCACACGGATTATTTCTACATGTTTCCACCCCTGTGGGAAATCAGTGTTTCGAAACTTCAGCATATTACATATAAACAAACATACCTCATTCATCTCGCATCTTTTGAATAAATGATTTAATAAGAGAGTAAAGCAACAGATAAAAGGTTTGCCTCTAAAAGATTGTTCCGTTATAAGCTATTTCCCTTTGCTAAGACACTGTTTTAACAAAATATTTCTAATTTAAATTCTGGACACTTTCTGCTTTAGGCTTGGAGCTGTTGCTGTAGTCCAGTCTGTGCCTACAGGTGGCAGTGCTCCTTCATGGTTGCAGCGATGTGGATTTCAATGCATTGGATTGTCAATGGAAGGTGAATTTAGGAAGTGAAATCAAACTTCAGAAATCTATTTTCAGGTATATTCTTCTAGTTTTATGAAAGCATAAGCTTATGTTGTTTAAAATGCTGTTATAAATAGAAGTGAACTTCAGCCACCAGCCTGAAGGCTGTCCTTTCTGCTGTTGCGTGTGGACGATGTCTGATGGGAATGCATCGTCTCTTCTCAGTATGTGGAAAACAAAGTGGCTAGGAGCGGTGGCTCACACTTGTAATCCCAGCACTTAGGGAGGCCGAGGCGGGTGGATCATGAGGTCAGGAGTTTGAGACCAGCCTGGCCAATATGGTGAAACCCCGTTTCTACTAAAAAGAGAAAAATTAGCCGGGCGTGGTGGTGGGCATTTGTAGTCCCAGTTATTCAGGACGCTGAGGCAGGAGAATCACTTGGACCCGGGAGGTGGAGGTTGCAGTGAGTGGAGATCACACCACTGCACTCCAGCCTGGGTGACAGAGCAAGATTCTGTCTTTAAAAAAAAAGAAAAAAAAGAAAAGAAAAGAAAAAAGAAAAACGAAGTGACTGAACTACTGAGAAACAGGTTCTCAGACCTCAGTTCCAGAAAATTATGAATGGCTAAGCATTACTGTAGAGTAAATCTGTTTCATTTTTCCACAGGTTTGTCTGTAGATTGCATTAGGGCAAGACTGGGTAAGTCTGTCTTTATAAAATCCACACTCTTGTGAGTACCATAATAATTCTATGGGCACCTTCAGTGGGGCTTGTTAGAACACTGATGCTGATGCTCCCTAAACTTATTTTTCAAAGAACTGCTGGTTTAATCAACAAAATAGAAATCACTGGAGAGATTTATTAAGCATTTAACTTTTTTTTTTTTTAAAGGCATTTAACTTCATGTTAAGGAGTCAAAAATACAAAAGGGTTGTGGAGTAGAATTTCTGTAAATTAAATAACCAACTGGAGCTCATGAGCCTGTGCTAGACTAGCTGTAAGAGTAACTGATCACAGTTGGTGTGTGATGACACTGGGCCAGCCACTGTGCTGAGGTATTTGGATGGTTTAACTCACGTAAATCTATATAGCAACCCTACCATTTTCTTTCAGTTCTATGATGCTTAATTTTTCATATTTCACAGTTCTAAAATTAGAATATGTTCTAAAATAGATGACTTCTGACAATCCCTATCCATAAGGCAGAAACTGAGATAGTATTTGTTTGTTTGCTTTTGTTTATTATTATTATTATTATGTTATTTCAATAGGTATTGGGGGAACAGGTGCTATTTGGTTACACGGATAAGTTCTTTAGTGGTGATTTCTGAGATTTTGGTGCATCCATCACCCGAGCAGTGTACACTGCACCCAGTGTGTAGTTCTTTATCCCTCACCACCCCTGACCATTTCCCTCAAGTCCTCAAAGGCCATTGTATTATTATTATGCCTTTGTGTCCTCAGAGCTTAGCTCCCACTTATGAGTGAGAACATTTGATGTTTCGATTCCCATTCCTGAGTTACTTCACTCAGAATAATGGTCTCCAGTTCCATTAAGGTTGCTGCGAATGCCATATGGCTGAGTGCCATGTTATATATTTTTTAGGCTATGTAGTTGCATATTTTTTTGCCTTGGTACGTTTTTATGATATTGTTTTTATCTTCACATTTTCTTTATCCAGTTGTTGACTGAAGGGCATTTGGACTGGTTCTGTATTTTTGCAATTGTGAATTCTGCTGCTATAAACTTGTGTGTACAAGTACCTTCTTTGTATAATGACTTATTTCCTCTGGGTACATACCCAATAGTGGGATTACTGGAACAAATGGCAGATCTACAATTAGTTCTTGAAGGAATCTCCATACTGTTTTCCATAGTGGTTGTACGAGTTTACAGTCCCAGCAGCAGTGTAGAAGTGTTCCCCTTTCACCACGTCCACACCAACATTTATTACTTTTTTATTTTTTGATTAAGGCCATTCTTGCAGAAGACAGGTGGTATCTCATGGTGGTTTTGATTTGTATTTCCCTGATAATTAGAGATGTTGAGCTTTTTTGTTTGTTTGTTTTTGTTTTTGTTTTTGATGGAGTCTTGCTCTGTCGCCCAGCCTGGAGGGCAGTGGTGCAATCTCAGCTCACTGCAAGCTCTGTCTCCCAGGTTCATGCCGTTCTCCTGCCTCAGCCTCCTGAGTAGCTGGGACTACAGGTGCCCACCACCATGCCCAGCTAATTTTTTGTATTTTTATTAGAGATGGGATTTCACCGTGTTGGCCAGGCTGGTTTTGATCTCCTGACCTCGTGATCCGCCCGCCTCGGCCTCCCAAAGTGCTAGGATTACAGGTATGAGCCACCGTGCCTGGCCGAGATGTTGAGCATTTTGTATATGTTTGCTAGCCAATTGTACAGCCTCTTTTGAGAATTGCCTGTTCATGTCCTTAGCCCACTTTTTGATGGGATATTAGTCCTTTATCAAAAGTACAGTTGGCAAATATTTTCTCCCACTTTGTGGGTTGTTTACTCTGTTGATTATTTATTTTGCTGTGCAGAAGCTTTTTAGTTTAAGTGCCATTTATTCTTCCTTGTTTTTGTTGCATTTGCTTTTAGGGTTTTGGTCATGAAGTCTTTGCCCATGCCAATGTTTAGACGGGTTTTCCAATGTTAGCTTCTCAAATTTTTATGGTTTCACATCTTAGATTTAGGTCTTTAATCCATGTTGGGTTGATATTTGTATAAGGTGAGAGATGAGGATCCAGTTTCATTCTACATGTGGCTGCCTATTTTCCCAGTACCATTTGTTGACAAACGTGTGCTTTCCCTACTCTATGTTTTTGTTTGCTTTGTCAAAGATCAGTTGTTGTATTTGGCTTTATTTCAGGGTTTTCTGTTCTGTTACATTGGTCTATGTGTCTACTTTTATACCAGTACCATGCTTTTTGCTGATTATGGCTTTATAGTACTGTTTGAAGTCAGGTAGTGTGATGCCTCCAGATTTGCTCTTTTTGCTTAGTCTTGCTTTCACTATGCGGGCTCTTTCTTCATTCCACATTAATTTTAGGATTGTTTTTCTAGTTCTGTGAAGAATGATGGTTGTATTTTGATGGAAATTGCATTGAATTTGTAGATTGCTTTTGGCAGTATGGTCATTTTCACAACATTGATTCTACCCATCCATGAGCGTGGGATGTGTTTCCATTTGTTTGTGTCATCTGTGATTTCTTTCACCAGTGTTTTGTAGTTTTTCTTGTAGAGGTCTATCACCTTCTTGGTTAAGTATATTTCTCCATTTTTATTTTTATTTTTTGCAGCTATTGTAAAAGGAGTTGTGTTCTTGATTTGATTTTCAGCTTGATTACTGTTGGTATATAACAGTGCTTCTGATTTGTGTACCTTAATTTTATATCTCAAAACTTTTCTGAATTCATTTGTCAGTTCTAGGAGCTTTTAAGAGGAATGTTTAGGGTTTTCTAGATATACAATCATTTTATCAGTGAACAGCAACCCAGCAACAGTTTGACTTTGTCTTTACTAATTTGGATGCCCTTTATTTCCTTCTCTTGTCTGATTGCTCTGGCTAGGACTTTCAGTACTGTGTTGAATAAAAGTTGTGAAAGTGGGCATCCTTGTCTTGTTCCAGTTCTCAGGGGAATGCGTTCAACTTTTCACCATTCAGTATAATATTGGCTGTGTGTTTGTCATAGATGGATTTTATTTTCTTAAGGTATGTCCTTTCTACGCCAATTTTGCTGAGGGTTTTAATCATAAAGGATGCTGGATTTTGTCAAATGCTTTTTTTTATCCATTGAGATGATAATTTGATTTTTATTTTTAATTCTGTTTATATGATGTATCACATTTATTGACTTTTGTATATTAAACCATCCCAGTATCCCTCATATGAAACCCACTTGATCATGGTGGATAATCTTTTTGATATGCTATTGGATTCACTTAGCTAGCATTTGGTTGAGGGTTTTTGCATCTCTGTTCATTAGGGATATTTGTCTCTAGTTCTCTTTTTTGTTATGTCCTTCATGGTTTTGGTATTAGGGTGATACTGGTTTCATAGAACGATTTAGGGAGGATTCCCTCCTTTTCAATCTTTTTGAATAGTGTCAATAGGATTGGTACAAACTCTTCTATGAATGCCTGAGAGAATTCAACTGTAAATCCATCTGGTCCTGGACTTTCTTTTCCTTCGTAATTTTTTTTATTACCATTTTAATCTCACTGCTTGTTATTGGTCTGTTCAGAGTTTCTATTCCTTGCTGATTAATCTAGGAGAGTTGTATATTTCCAGGAATTTTTCCTTCTTCTCTAGGTTTTCTCATTTGTATGCATAAAAGTGTTCATAGTAGACTTAAATTATCATACAGCCTTAAATGATTTCTGCAGCATTGTTTGTAATATCTCCCATTTTCTTTCTAATTGAGCTTATGTGGATCTTCTTTCTTTTTTTCTTGGTTAATCTCACCAATGGTCTATCAATTTTGTTCATCTTTTCAAAGAATCAGCCTTTCATTTCATTTATCTTTTGTATTTTTTGTTTGTTTGTTTTAGTTTTCTTTAGTTCTGCTCTGATCTTTGTTATTTTTTTCTTCTGCTGGGTTCCAATTTGGTTCATTCTTATTTCTCTAGTTTCTTGAGGTGTGACCTATGATTGTCTATTTGTGCTCTTTTGGGCTCTTTGATGAAGGCTTTTAATGTTATGAACTTTCCTCTTAGCACTCCTTTTTCTGTATCCCAGAGGTTTTGATAGGTTGTTATCATTATTATCATTCAGTCGAAAGAAATGTTTAATTTTCATCTTGATTTCATTGTTGACTCAATGACCTTTTGGGAGCAGATTACTTAATTTCTATGTATGTACATGGTTTTGATGGTTCCTTTTGGAGTTGATTTCCAATTTTATTCCACTGTGGTCTGAGAGAGTAATTTTGATTTTCTTAAATTTACTGAGACTTGTTTTGTGGCCTATTATGTGGTTTGTCTTGGAAAATGGATGAGTACAGTGTATATTCTGCAGTTGTTGAGTAGAATGTTCTCTAAACATCTGTTAAGTCCATTTGTTCTAGAGTATAGTTTAAGCCCATTGTTTCTTTGTTGACTTTCTGTCTTGATGACTTGTCTAGTGCTGTCAGTGGAGTACTGAAGTCCCCAACTATTACTGTGTTGCTGTTTGTCCTGTTTCTTAGGTGTAGTAGTAATTGTTTTATAAATTTGGAAACTCCAGTGTAAGGTGCGTATATATTTAGGATTGTGATATTTTCCTGTTGGACAAGGCTTTTTATCATTATATAATGTCCCTTTTTGTCTTTTGAAGTGCTGTTGCTTTAAAGTGTGTTTTGTCTGATAAAAGAATAGCTATTCCTGCTTGCTTTTGGTGTCTGTTTACATGGAATATCTTTTTCTACCCATATACCTTAAGTTTATGTGAGTCCTTATGTGTTAGTTGACTCTCTTGAATACAGCAGATATTTGGTTGGTGAATTCTTATCCATTCTGCAATTCTTTTTTTTTTTTTTTTTTTTAAGTGGAGCATTTTTAAGTGGAGCATTTAGGCCATTTACTTTAAACATTAGTATTGAGATGTGACATATTGTTCTATTAATTGTGCTAGTTGTTGTCTCAATATCATGCTTATTTTTCATTGTATTGCTGTTTTATAGGTCCTTTTAGATTTATGCTTTAGGGAAGTTCTATGTTGGTGTATTCTGAGAATTTGTTTCAAGATTTAGAGCTCCTTTTAGCAGTTCTTGTAGTGCTGGCTTATTAGTGGCAAATTCTCTCAGCATTTGTTTGTCTGAAAAAGACTGTATCTTTTTTTTATTCACAAAGTTTAGTTTCACTAGATACAAAACTCTTGGCTGGTAATTGTTTTGTTTAAGGAGGCTGAAGATAGGCCCCAAATCCTACTAGCTTGTAGGGTTTCTCCTGAGAAATCTGCTGTTAATCTGGTAGGTTTTCCTTTATAAGATACCTGATGCTTTTGCCTCACAGCTCTTAAGATTCTTTCCTTCATCTTGACTTCAGATAACCTGATGACGGTGTACCTAGATGATGATCTTTTTGTGATGAATTTCCTAGGTGTTCTTTGAGTTTCTTGGATTTGGATGTCTACATCTCTAGCAAGGCTGAGAGGTTTTCCTCAATTATTCCCTCAAATATGTTTTCCAAACCTGTAGATTTCTCTTCTTCCTTGGGAACACCAATTATTTTTAAGTTTAGTTGTTTAACATAATCCCAAACTTCTTGGATTTTTATTTATTTTTTTTTTTAAATATTTTTTGTTCATTTTTTTTAAATTTATCTTTTTCAGATTGGGTTAACTTGAAAACCTTGTCTTCAAGCTCTGAAGTTCTTTCTTCTACTTGTTCAAGAATTTACAATGCATTTTGCATTTCTCTAAGTGTGTTCTTCATTTATAGAAGTTGTGATTTTTTTTTTATTTATGCTATCTATTTCACTGGAGATATTTCCATTCATATCTTGTCTCATTTTTTTTCA